GGGGGGGGGGGGGGGATTTCCATATAGTAGCTCGGTCTTCCTGCTGAAACGCTGGCCCTGACAGGCAGGGTAAGAAGCCTGCCTCCTACATAATTAATTAAATTGTGTCAGTGGGAGAGTTTACAAAAAACCGATTCGGGGAACCTAAAAATGTTTTGTATTGTTTTTTTTAAAATTGTTTTTTATTTTGTTTCGTTTTGATTTGTTTTGATTTACTTTCCTGACGCACTAAGTAAGTCACATTGTTTTAGGTTTGTTTTGATTTCGTATATAATTATTTCTCTTGCCAGGAGTCGTTCCAAATGATTCAATTAAAATATTTATTTGAGGATACACAGAGAACAAAGTTTGGGTGTTTTTGTGAAAGAAAACCAAACCAAGACATTACTTTTAAAGGAATAACACATTTTCGAAACAGGGTCCTTCCGAAGTGGACAATTCGAACAATTCGAATCAAGCTGGAATATCTTGTGGGTGGCCCTGGTTCGAATCCCCAGAGGGCTCTATGGAACTTTTATGGTTTGGGGGAGTTTCCACGGTTCTCAACTAAGTTTTCTTTGCTTTATCCTATCGGAGATAGAAGTTATATTTGGAGGTCCCACCTCTAATTTACTTTACAGTGCAGATAAAGTCCCCAAAACCATAAACCATCTAAGACCCGAAAGACATTTAATATTTTCTTTATCTTAGTCTGAGTAAACACTTTACGGCACTTTTGACACAACTAGGTGGTCAAACATGTGAGGAAGATTAAAGGTGTTACTACAGAGAAGCATACAATAAAAGGAGAGATGACGATGATGGATGTTTGATGGGAGGGACAGAGCAAACCACACCGGAACACTCGCCAACCACCCACCCCTGTATTTCTCTCCACAGAGCTGGAAATCCCCGTGCCAAAGAACATTATAGCCATGGACCAACGCTGTCTGAAGACAGGGGCTCCCCTGGTCGCTCACGAGCGGTACTGCCACAGATATTTCAACTGCTCACAGCCTCACCCTGAAGACATGAACAAGTAAGTTCTAACTCAGCACAACTCATTTGTAGAAGAAAATTATTCACTTACGATGCATGTGTAGATGTTTTAAGCCCACGTCAACACAATTTAGATCATTAAGGAGACGGGCTTCTACCTTGCCTGCCAGGACTAACCCGGGCTGAGAGAGATACAACGTCTCAGACGAAAGACTTAAGATACTGGATACAAATTGTACCCTCACGGGAATCGAACTCAGGTCGTCTGCATATTCGACGAAGTGCCTAACTGCCGTATCACTGACTCCGTTAGGTGAGAGTAAAGTTGGAGTCCCAATTCAGAACTGCTTGATGCGGGGTATCTGGGGGCACCATGGCGGTCACAGTAGTTTTTTCTTCGATGTTTAGGTAAGTGTTTTACGGTGCTCGCAACTGCACACGGTTATATGAGTGCGCTGGACACATTAAGCATTTTTAGTTTGGTAGGAATTTATTTTGAATTTGCCCGGGTAGCGGCAGAAACCTACTCTTATCGATTTTAAGACCACTAAGGGATCTTTAACTTGAGCAGCCTGCACACGGGACCTCCAACAATTTGTTCATACTTACCCAGCCTAGGATCAGGGGTGTGGCTGAAAGACAGGATTTTGAATGAGCCAAGGATAGCAGTTTTTCTTCCGATACAATTTCTTACAAAAATAAGAAGCAGAAGGCTGTGAACACTGTGATGCTTAAGAATGTCGGTGGGTGTGTGGGGGTGGGGGTGAATTTAAACTTTATTTTAACCCAATGTCACAAAGCTATTGGTAGTGCTGTATACTGTGAGTCTGCAGTGTATTTATTTGTGTGCGGGCGTGTGTGTGTATGTGTGTGTGAGTGTGTGTGTGTGCGTATGTGTGTGTGTGTGTGTGTGTGTGTGTGTATGTGTGTGTGTATTAGTGTGTCTGCACTTAAAATAAATGTATCTTTGATGTAGATCTTGCTGGGCTGGGTGAGGAAGTCAGCTGTAGTTTTAACCTTTTTTTGTGTGTGGAAAAACCCAAAACGCTGGACGCAAGCCCATCTCCGATGAGATGTGGATTGTAGGGTGGGGAGGGGCTTATGTTTTTCGCTTCTGTCCTTCTAGCTCTCAGAAAAGACAGGTTAGTTTACACCCACTATTTATTATTTATAAACACGAAATAGGTTCGGTTTAAAACTATACCACACTCATCTCACTAAAGTTTGGGGGTACGCTTATATTATTATTAAATGTGTTACACTCTAGTGGGCCTTGGAGATAGGTATGTATATATTATGATTAAAATATGGTTTTACGCTCTCATGGCCCAAAATTAGACCACTTAAAGAGCAGACTGCTTTCGACAATTTCGACTTGGGCTAAGAGGAATAGCGGATTCCAGTAGACAGACGGAACTACTTTATTATAATATTTAAACAAAAACCGCATCTTTTGTGTGCAGCGGCTTTGTGTCTTGTTATTACATCACAGATATGGTCAAACACACATGCACACAAACACGCGCACACACACACACACACACAGACACACACACACACACAGACACACACACACACACACACACACACACACACATACACATACACACAGAGCGAGAGATGGAGAGAGAGAGGAAAAGAGAGAGATAGATAGATAGAGAGAGAGAGAGATAGATAGAGAGACAGAGAGACAGAGAGAGAGACAAAGAGAGAGAGAGAGAGAGAGAGAGAGTGAGAGAGAGAGAGAGAGAGAGATTGTTTGTGTAACGTCTTATTACAAACATAATCGATTTAGTGGTATAACCATACCAAAATCACCTCACACAAAACGTGGCTTTCTAAGAACTCTTAGGGTGCTGTCATGTCTACTGACAAGATGCTTCGTTATTTAACCCTATCCGTACGCTCTGTGGTCATTTTGTACCCCCGGGGTTGTATTTTTCACATTTTAGAATACTTCTAGCACGAATTCTCTTTGAAACTTTCAGCATTTCTCAAAAAATCATTTTGACAGACTGCTATGCAAAGCGAACAGATCGTATTAACGAGTAAATTTCCTCTTTGGAAAGTGGTGGCACAGAGTTCCCCACGTCGTATGGATACGATAGTAAAACACGACGTACAGATAGGGTTAAGGG